GCTGCTGCTGCTGCTGCGGGAAAGGGCGGCACCGTTCAGCACCACCTCCAGATGCTTCGCCAATTGCACGACTTGAAAGCGCAACGCCTGTCGATCCAACTCGCGCTGCCGCAATGCGAGAAGACGCTGCTGCAACTGCTGCTCGGATTGTGCAATCGAAGACGATGATCCTCCTATGCTACGTTTCTGTTCCTCGTACAGATGGAGCTTCTCGCGAAGAATGCGGGCCTCCTCAGACTCCGCGGATGCGGTGGCCAACATCGCACGGTACGCCCCAAGAAGTTCTCTACTTTCCGCAACAGCGAGGCGGGAGTCAAAGCGCAATGTCGACATTGACGTGCTTAACGAAGGAGACGGCACCGGCATGCTGAATAACAACGGCGCGGCACCCACAGGACTCCTGCATAGCGGACTAGGGGGAGAAACAACGTCAGAATGGTGGAGAGGTGACACACTGCTCTCCGCTGTGTTGTGGCATCTTGGTGCTAGAGCTGTAGCGACAGCGGTATGTGCGGCACGCCCACCCAATGGAATGGCCGGGGAGCGAGTAACGAGCCGCCGCCTAATGCATGTGACAGGATCCCCGGGGGCCACAGCGTCCCCACTGGTGGGGAGTGAAGGCACAATAATAGTGGTAGTATTAGAAGCAGCGGTGGTAGGAGGAGGTCGAGAAACAGCAGCAGCATCAGTTTCTCTTGCCGCACAAGGCATACACAAATCGGAAACCTCTTCTTGCGTTTGGATTCGCCGCTGTTGTTCTCCAACGGATGACTCACCACCTGACGGTTGCCAAAACGAAAGAAGAACGCCGTTTAGCAGGCGATTAACGGCGACGTCCCGCAGGAGTTCAGTACGCCGCTCACGCGTCTCCGCCATCAGCGCCCGGTAGGCTAGCCGTGAGTGCACTCGCTCCCTCCACTTCTCAAGCAACGCAGCGCGCTGACGGCTCCGCAACGTGCGATCGCAAAAAGCATCTGCCATCGTGACACGCTGACGGCGCTGCAGTCGCCACTCTGTCCGTTCCCACCACTTACGCAGAAGCGACACCTTCCAGCGTTCAAGAGCATCCTTCCATCTACGCCGGCATGCGAGTTGCCGGTCACAGAAGACAAGCCATTTGCAGAAGTACTCGCGACACGTCACGAGGGCGGTGCGGCGGCAGTGCAGTGTGCTGGCGGTGCGCATCAGCCACGTGTGGTAGCTGCAGACCATCGTGCGCCTGCGACTGTTGATCTCTATGTGCCGCAGTGCAGCCCTATACCTCTGCAGCCGGAGCCCGCGCCGGTGCGCCACAACGCCAAGCCAGTGAATCCAGTAGAAGCGTGTGGCCAGCACTTGGAGTGAAGCCATTGCTGTGCTGCCACAGCTTCTCGGAAGTTGCAGCAGCGCAGAATTCCCGCCAAGCACAGTGTTAGCCACCACCCACGTCGATGGTGTGTGCACAACGAGAACTGCCAAGTGAAGCTGGTGTGCCTTGGACCGCAGCGCACCGCGCCGCCACACCCTCCACCACCACTGCAGCACTCGTCTGTCAGAAGCTACGCGCAGCTGCTGGTACGCTGCGGAGCACACGGCCTGGCGGTGCCAAACCGCCCAATATCGCGACAGCGCCGCCCTCGTGATGCCTTCACACAAGGTCATCACTCGGTTGCGCAACTCTCGTTTCCTCTGCAACCAATTCCGCCACGCATGCATTGCACGTCTGAGTGCAAACGCCGTACAATGTGTATTAGCTGCTTGAATGTTAGCCCTCTCATGCCACTTCTCAGAATAGCGCCACTGCCACGCGCGGAAGAAGAGAAAAAGGCGCCGTCGTGCATACCACTCGTCTGCGAGGCACGCTTGCCACCGCTGCCGCTCCCCCGCCGCCTTTAGACGCCGTCGCCACGCACGAATAGTGCGCAGCAGCAGCGACGAGCGGTATGTCACGTGGGCAACAATCATCAACGAGATGGGCGGGTCATCGGTTGTGTCGCTATCCACTGCGAGGATATCAAGAAGCGGGAACCACTTCCTGTGCACGTCAGTGTCTGTTGATGCTGCAGCTTCTTCTGCTGCAAACTCTATGCTGGTGTGAAGGCTCATGTGGACCAAGGCACATCCAGTAGACCCCAAGCAAGGTGCAGACAAGAAGTCTGCAAGGGTGCTGTGTGGAACGCGTTTACTCGTACGAGACGGCCCCCACCCCCAAACAAAAGGAAAAAGAAAAAAAAAAAGAAAATGCATCTCTGCTTAAACAACTAAAGCATGCAGCAAATAAGTGAAACTTCGACACACAGCGTAGTACAACTGTGCCCCCTACCACTGACATTGTAAGAAAAGATAAAGAAAACTAACATTGCATACATCCTATGATTGCGAAGTCCGTACACTAACAAGCTCCGGCAGCCAAGAGGAATAATGTGCATCCACTACTTTCTGGGAAACGGAATGGAGCCCCTACCGTTGGCCCACTCCAACCTACTCTTTCCACAAAGGCACATAATCCATCTGCGTCATAAAGACTAGCAGTACAGGTATTGGAAAGGGGAAAAAAATATCGCAAGCACGTACTAGACTTCTTGTCACTTTGTGCTGGCGTCGCCGCTGCCGCGACGGCTCAGCTTCCCCGACGAGGGTCGCAGAATCGACGGCTGCCTCCCATCAGGGTCCGCCCCTGGCGATGTCGACTGCAAACGCGGCAAAATTTCCCCGCCGATCATGCCAGTATCACGCAGCGATACCTTCTGATGGTTTGCGCCGGTGAAGGGGCTCACGCCGGGCTGTAGGTCGTCAGGGTTCAGATTAGGCGGCACACGCTCGGGGACGTCCTCACCACGCTTCGCACCGCCTGCCACCGCAGGTGACAAGGTCGATGGCGTGATGCTCGCAGGTGTCAGGCTTGTTGGCGGGATGTGACGTGGATGTGTGTGACTGCCGCGATCACCCACCAAAGAGGATTCAGGACGTGCCGCCTTCTTGTTTGGCTGGTACGAGTTGATAGAGGAGTTACTCGCGTAGAAGCTTGGCATCGGCTGCGGCACGATCACCTCGTCCGAATCTCTCATGGGTGGCACACTTGTGGACACTGGCTGTGGTGCTGTCGCTGCTGCTGCTGGTGGTGGTAGTGGTGGAGGCGGAACGGGCTCAATCTTTGCGCGTTCCACCGGGTCGAGGTCCATCACTGTGTTGTAAGGTGCCTCCTTGCGATCCTCCACCACAATCACACGTGGCTTCCGTTTTGACGTGCTCATGTCAGCAAGAAGGGGCAGGCCGTTCTCCCGGCGCCAGTGATTCTCGTCATCCCGGCGCTTCCTCTCCGCCTCGAAGGCCTCATGGGCGGTGCGTGTGTAGCGCTCTTCGTCCGTCTCGCCTGCCACTGTGGGGGGCTGAAATCCTGCCGGATATCCGTCGTCCATCTCGTCCACCGTCGGCACAAACTCCGGGGTATCGGGCCGCATCAAATCCTGCTCATACCGATGTCTTTGCAGCTCATAGCCAGGATCCAAGGAGGCGTGCGGGTTCAGCAGCTTGTACGAAGGGGTGAGAGTGGCGGCGTGGCGTGAGCAGCACACCTGCGCGCACGGCAGTGGTGGCGGCAGCGGATCCAGTTTGAGGTTGGCGCGCCGCACAGACACCAGCGAAATAAAGATTGGAATGCAGAGAACAGCACAGCAGACCACAGGCACACCAATCCCCACGCCGTACCGGCATCCCGTGTCACACTTCACACGACGCATACTTGGCGCTGTGTCTATCACGTACACACCCTCCGTTGTGCGGCCACCGTTCTGCCAGTACAATGCCTGCAACATGGAAGTGTCCGCACCACGCACAAGAGTACGAATTTGTTCGTTTGTCAACTCGCCACCACCAGGAAAACGCACCACGGCATACACAGCTGAGAGGCCACTTGTTTCAAACTGGCAGTCGCGCAGACTCATGCCTGTCACACCAGGAGAAGTCGTTAGCACCGCTAAGAGCAAATTTGCAACAGCAGAAGCAGCAGGATTCATCAACGGTGTTACACTCCTTGTGGTTGTCGCTCTAGCAGTCACCCCAGCGCTACCACGCTTTTGCAGAAAGGTGTCATACACGTACGGCCACTCCGAACCAGAGAACACGACACGGAAGAACTCTTGCGTAGGCAACACATCTTGAGAAATTGCGTCAGCGCTGACACACACCGCGGTCAAAAAAAAGAGCAGAAACTTAAGCCCAGCACTCAAGGTGCAGCGTGGGTGGACATATCGTGGGCCCACACAACTTTCTGCTGAAGTTCTGCAAAAAAGCATCTAGGAAAAGTACCACTTCGTATCTGCCAGGCAACAACACCAGAGGCCGCACAGAGCAACAAGGAAAGAGACCACATGGAAGCAGCAAGCGCATCCACACGCGACTGCAGTGGAAGCACGCTGCACAACGCCACACACAAACAAGCACCAGCAGTAAGACACAACAGCCCAGGAAACACACAACCTGCAGCACTGCACCCTACACAGCAACCGCCAAGGGGAGTGCGGCAGACAGAAAACAAGCACAGAATGTGCGTGATAAGCAAAGTGCTAAGAGCACACAGCAAAAGATGAAGTAAAAACGACGCAAAGCGTACTTACTCGAACCAAAAAAAAAAGATAACGCGGCTAAAAAAAAAAAAACGACAGCATAGCCTACACCAAAACAACAGCACAGCACCACAGAAACAGGATAGAAATCCAAAGGCTTTGTAGCAAAAATACTGCAAAAAGTGACTGCACCTGTCACCAAGAGCAAAGTTATATCACGAGAAGCAAAGTGTAGTTAGGACGAACCTCCACAATTCAACGCACCTGATCACTCAGCAATTAATTCCTCAGATGAACACGAATCATCAGTAGAGCTAACGGGAAAAAAGTTCAAAGCAGCCACACTCGATGCCTCTGAAGAGAGACAACCATCCTCTGGTAACGCAATGGGCAGGGGGCATCCAGCCAACGTAGGAGAAAAACCGCGCCCGCGTGGCGACGCCGCTGCACTGTCACGTACGGCGTTCATGCGTGCGGCAAGGCACCTCGTCAGCGTCGCGGCGTACTCCACATCCGACATACCCCGGCGCCGCCCAACCAAACGCACACCCCACCGCCGGCAAAGCGGCTTCAGCAACTCCACACGCTCCGCCGCAGGACACCGCGAGAAGCAGCGCCCAATAAAATCAGAAAGGCCCTCCACAGCGCTGCACAGGCTCCCCATAGAAACATCCGTTGCTGCTTCTGAGCACGACCCATCACCGTCCACATTCACAGAAGCATCCTGCCGGTCAAGCCGCAGTGCGGCGAAGGTGCGCCCGGGCACAGCGTTCAGCTGGTACATCGCCACAGGCACAGGCACACC